AATGCTAGTCGTAAACTGACAAAAATCAGGACACAGATCGGACGACTCCCTTTTACTTCTCGAGAGAGAGTGAAATATGTCCTGTTAATGGAACGGCAAAGTAGAAAATGGAGTATGGTTTCCTTGAATGTGCAGATACATTTGGAACTATACGAATTTGCACGCTCCAATAATTTATTAACAAATTCATTCAAAATCAAATTTTTAATAATAAACATGAAAAAGACAATGAATCTTTGCGAAAATGAGGAAAGAAATGTAATAATTATTGTACAACAGAAAACATTGCAAGGTACGAATATCTTTACGGAGAAAGCATTTATGCACACCTCTTCTTAATATTTTTGTTAGGACAGAAAGTCTAGTTTTAGTGACATGATTTGACAAGATGAGCCAATGATGAGTACAGCCAAAGTTCAAGAGAGATCCAGGGTGCCTTTGGTAGAATGAAATAGTTTTTAGACCTTTCGATTTCACAAATCACATCTGGCTGCATCACTCACATACATTTATGTTTAAAGCTCTTCTATTAGTTTGTCAAGAAACGGCGCTGGAAAGCAGAAACAAGAAGGCCAGTGTGACTGTACCTGTACAGAGCATTGATAAAAAATGAAAACGGATACTGTCCATTTGAAGCATGCAGAAACAAACGGGAACAGTTGATAACCGGAGAATACCGACTTCACTGGAATAAAATTTGACCGACTAGTAGCTCAAAAAGAGGAGAAATATTGACCCCAGGTAATGCAAGTTGTTCTAAGTTGGTCAGTGGGACTGCATGCTCCCGCATGCGTGCGCAAGTAGCGTATAAGAGAACCGTCATTTAGAGAGACAAGAAACAGTGGATAATGCTTCCTGCGTAATCTGTCTCAGAGACAATTCTGATGATACTGAGAATGTTTTGAATGTTTTAGAAAGCTCTGTCATGTGCAGTGAAAGGTCAAACAACAGTTACAGCCGTCAACATAACCCTGTTGTTCTACATGTAGAACTTGCTGGTCAACACACCAGAAGTGGAATATCAAAGGAAACTTCCGGGTGATACACGTGATGCACTTGATCCGAAGTTTTATCATGAAATAAGCAATTATGAAGTTGAATTATTCACGTTTGGAACCTGATCGCTTGCAAGAAAAAATGAATTAATTGTGTCTTATCTACGTTTAATTCCAACTAACGAAATTAATTAGCTTCATTTTGACCAGAAATGATCTACTGATTTGAACCCACATGTAAATCGTGGAACGCTTTTCTTCTTTATAAAGATTATTGTACCATGATTTCTTTAGCACACAGTCTGGCGTCAGATGAGTGTGAAATATATATATATATGATTATATTTTATGTCCAGGCTTGTATATCGTCTTCCAACTTGGGCTTCAGTTACTGAGACTTTATGGACTTTTAAATGTTTATCTATCATTCTATGAAGTAATTTAGTGCGTAAGAGCCTCCCATTGACCACGAAAATTGTGAAATGTGAAGGTAAAAATTTTGACTTTCAACTGGAAAGTTCACTGTTCGAGTTTAACGAATTTGATGCTCTATAGAGATGGGTCAATAGAGGACAGAGAAAGTTGTCGTTGTTTTCTGTCTACCACGAAACATAAAATTCTATTACAAAATCAATGAAGGTTGTTCAAGAGGTCTAGGTTCACAGTAATAATATAATCAAAAATCTAATCAGATAGTTATTTGCATTCAAATAAAAATATAAAATGGAATGCTGGGCACTAGAAGAAGATTACTATAAGTTATTTTCAATGTGCAGCACCCGAAATCATTAGGAAATTTAAGTTACAGTGAAATTTTTTTGTTTAAGTGTTTTATTATCTACAGTTTATCTGCTTAGAAAATCTCGATGGATGGGTTTTGTTGTCAAAATCAACGATCTCATATTTAAATTATGAAACATTAACCGATTTCAGTGAATATCCAGAGCAGTAAGAGAAACATTTTACGTAGTGAATTTAATGGCAAATTCTATAACAAATGAGTAGAACCCAAAAATTGTAATCATTATTACACTTACGATAACTCATTAATTTTTTCAAGTACTGTTCAGAACCTGTGGCACGAACGGTCGATTTTATCGCTTAAAAAGAGAGAAAGAGCATACTCGTAACTGCCTAATGTCCCCTATTGCAAATTGTTATATTTTGTTTACGTGGTTTACGACAGCACGTTGTCTGCATAACAGACCACGTAGACTGAAATGCCTTGTGCCGCTGTCATGGATTTGTACCACGTTCTTGCGGACATCGTGTACAATGCAACCATGATTATGATAAGTGTTTTATATGAAACTACGCACAACTTGACAAGTGGTAGATAGTAGATGCCTAAGTATACTAGATTGGACAATAATATCATCAACATCATTTTGGCTGTACATAATCTTTGCTACTCTGCTAATCCTTGTGCATACAAACACATAAGAGACAGGCAGATAGAGTGACATGGTTGCCTGCACTCCCGTGAGGTTGGGGTAAGACGAAAAGCGAGGAGGAAGGAGATGTGTTTTCGCTCAGGAATGTATGTGACAATGGGAAGGACTCGTAGTTTACGTAAATTGTCTCAGATCAGCAAAGAAAAAATAATGTGACAGGCATCAGAATGCGAGCTTGATCTGGCGAACACATTGTCAAACTCCCTAAAACAACGACCGTAATTGCCAGGCGTCCCAGTGTCATTCGTCCGGAGAAAAAAAACTCAGTAAATACAGGAATGGAACATTAGGCCATCAACTACAAGATATCTATCGAAGATAGGAAAACAGAGGAAACGTAAAAGCGATTGGAATAAATGCTTTACCACTTTCTTTGTGTGATTCTAACATTCATCTACGCATTTCTGTTTATCAGATACAGTTGACAGAAAGAATTAAGTAGTGAACTTACTTTATGCTCAGTCGACTCGGAGGCTAATTCAGGATATCCGGATGGTCCCGCGATCCTACCAGTTGGATTTGCCGTCTTCCAGTTTATTGGGGCAGAAACAACTTCGATATAGGAAGCCTGATGGGTTGACGTCGGTGTGAGTAAGATAGACGGCGAAGTCGATGGTACGGCTGCTGATGTTGCGGCTAGTGCCGATGGGGTACTGATATCTTCCGTCAGTTTACATGAGGCTGAATCAGCATCCATAAGCATACTGGACTCGTGTGGGACCGTTTTAGTCGGTGGCACAAGCTGGGTGGGGAAGGAATTGACTGAGGGAAGAACTGCTGTTAGGGTCACAGCGTTTACCGATGCAGGCACACTTTGAACCGATAGACGGAAAGAAGCAGCACCTGTAACCGCAACCGGTTTAAACGGACCGTTCGCAATATGTTCAGACGTGTTTACAATGGTCGCAGTCCTGGTCACTGGTTGAAGTGGTTGAATGGACGTAGCGAGGACACACTTTGGCATCGATGACATAAGGGTTTGAGCGATGGGTTCAGTTTGTGTAGCTACCTGAATTATTCCATTAGACAGTGATGAACCAGGATGGGAATTCCAAATTGGAGTGAGAAGGGGTTGAGCAATTCCTCGGTTTGGGCTTTCGATGATGACATTATTCGAAGGGAGTGTTTGAATGGATTGTTCATGAGAGAATTTGGTATAGGTCGTATAGTGAAGCTGTGAATTCAATGCTTGCGTCTGTCCAAGTTCCAATGTATTCATGTTAATACCAAAGGCCCGGTTAACCGACTGAATAGAGGCGGAATTGAGCGGAGATTGATCCACAGGTGAAGCAGTAGCGATAGTTACCACGTTGGTTGGTACAATCAGTCGGGGTGTATTGGCCAGCAGGATGAAATCCTCTTTGATTCAGATACGAAAAGTGAATGTTTGAGATTAAAATTGTTTCAAAATCAAATTCAATGCAAAGGAAAACTTTGAGATCTATATCCTACAATGTGAGAAAATTAACTACATCTTAGCTAAAACCCATGATTTTGATATATACAATGAAACAGGATATTCACTATTGTTGATTTGTGGTGCAAAATACTGACTAAGTTTGACAGCAATCATTATTAAAGGGTCTGGTTAATGACAATGCCTCTGGATTCAAAGATTTATTTAGACTAAATGAACATCATTTGCTGAAACGACACCAATTGGTCAAAATTCAATTCAGAATAATTGAGAGATGGCTGTGATCAAGGTCTCTGAATGTGAACAGTTTTTACTCGAGAACATACTTAGATTTATAATTTCAATTTTGTGAGTTATCTGGCAGCCAGCAGAAACAATTAAATGGGACAACTGGATGATTAAAACTTTTAATCCGAGAGACCGACACCTCAACCTTTAAAGTTGACAGGCATAGACAATATTTATTTTCCTATTTCTCTGGATTATTGGTTGATGCGTCATTCTGTGCAGGCGTTTGTTTACGGCAACTTAAGGTTGTTAAAAAACTGCTCTGAGCATCGCAACTATCGCATAAACATTTATGGAAGTCCCATCTGGATTCATACATAATCAAAAAATGACAGCCTCACCCAATTGCACCCATCAATAGAAGCTATTTGCCTAGTGAAAAGATGACCTCACTTTTTCTAAGACGACGAACATTGGGTGAGAAAATACAGACTGACTACATGTATCACTCTAGAAAGAAGATCCATTATCTCTATCAAAGTTATATAATCATCCAACAATCTCTGGAAATGGTTTTGTGCTTTGGATGAACATGATTAACTTTTTAAAGCATCATCACTTTTACACTGAATATGAAAAAAATCCCTCTTTTTTCACATTTTCATTCGTAAACTCAAGATCAAAAATCTGCAAGCCCAAGTTAACGATTTGACTCAGGATTCCCCCCCCCCCCCNACACACAAACTAGCCTCTTCTGATTAACACCGGGTGTATGGAAATGAAAACAGACCTTAAAATATACAAGCTTTCACCACACATCATGATTGCAATCAGAACACAGACTGCGGGTAAACAGTTGTTTTTGTGATTTTATTTTCCAACCTTTAAGATTGAATTTATGACAATTTACTTTACAACATTTACCATTCTGATTTATTTTACTTCTCTCTCATGACTCACTTACAAAGGTGGTTGTTTATACATACCTAAAAGTAAATGAACGTAAACTCACAATAAAGGCAACAATTCATAATTGGTGCTACTGAGTGAAGAATACAATCGCCTTATTCTCGTGGCTGCAAATTTGATAAAATGGACAACAACATACCTTCCTGTTTGACCTGATCGAGCCCTACTTGACACCAATGTGTGACTGTCTATTTAGAAGTTTAGAATTCTTAGGTTCACCAAAAACACCGTTCACTAGCTGCTTAACTGTAAATCCGTTCATGTAAGAAAACATATTCTTTCACACTATTGCAATGTATTTTCCCACGCAGTTTTACTACCCAGATATTTAATCAAATTAACTTTGTATAGTCCTGCCCAAGCGTTAATATGCATATTATTCATTATTTTGCTAAAACTTCAAACGTTATTCAAATTTGAGGTGAACGCTTTATGTCACGGAAGACAATACGTAGCTTTTTCTCAAATATTCAAAAGTAAATAAATTGAGTGACATGAGAATTTTATGAAATGGAACTTCTATAGTTGAAATCTGCTTGACTTTTAAAAGCTGTTTTGCTCTCAAAGAAAACTCGCATGATAGGCATATGTACTAATAAAAAACGAAAGCATGACCACTTGAGGTTGACGACGAAAGTCATATCGTCAATCTCATTGAATCACCTAACGACGCCTCCGTTTTGAAGTCCCGTTATCTTTACATCACAATCATTGTTCCCCATGCACAAATTAGGTAGCAATGTTCTTAAAGCTTTTCATCCTTGTGAACTAACATGGCAAACAACACGTATTGTGACAACGGTTTTTAAGTTGTAACGGCTCAGATTGTTGAAACCATTCTAAGATTATCCAACGGGGGAAAACTGCCTCAAGGCCCACGTTCAGTTGTTCTTGCACCCTGAGGTTTTAACTGCTAAAACCCAACAGTTCTTTGGTTGGATTGTTATTCTTAATATTTGCTTAAAATCAAGTAAATATCCGCAGGTTCTTGATGGTTTTCCAAACATGAAATGTTTGGTTTTATCTTCATAGAAACTGTTTTTTGCAGTAAACATATAACGGTGCTTGAGAGAGGAGAGTCTTTTGTTGGCTTTGGAAGTCCATAGTAAACACTCCTCAATGGAGTGAAAGAAGCTATCTTGGATATTTACAACATTTAACGGCGTTGGTAAAAGAAAATTGTCTAATGAATATCACTTATCATTCACCTTGAAAAATACCTGTGAAGCTTTTTCTATAGACAGTGAAAATCAGTCAATTTATGTAGCTCATTTATCTATCTGTACGGTTATTAGTCCTTAGTCTATTCAGTTTGACAGTTTACAATGCAGTGAAATTTTTTCACGCTGACGATGAGAAATCGATAAGAAATATACGTACGCAATAACCAAGCCACTTAAGCTATACTTGAGTTTACGGAGATCGCAATGTGATGATAAGCAACTACGCTACCCCATATAACATCTGCTTGAGTCTTATGGGATTTATGGGATTCGGGAAACGGTTACAGTGTGTATAAATTGTGAGCAATGGAGAATTAGGAAATATTTTCCTCTGGTGTTTCGTCGTTCAGTGTGGTATGATGAGAAACATCTTCGGTAAAGCACCGATCTTTATTAGATAGCCAAAATTGTCATCGGAGCGAAACTTTATTCAAGCTCCATTGTCACAAAGCTAACGCTGAGAAAAGTGGGAATTGGTTGAGATGACAGTTTTATTTTAAACTCTGATGAGGAGTCTCAATTCACACAAATGTTGCATTAGCTTCCTTTCAGCTTCTTCAATGGACTTTTTCAATACTAGAGAGCAAATTACTACTGTCATAGGAAAACACGTTCTTTTTGTCACCAAATGCCTGTGGTTGTGTCCATCTCCATACAGAGAATTGACAAATCATAGTTGCCTTTCATCAATACTGTTTCGGTTGTCGGGTTACTACACACACAAATATATATATATATATATATATATATATATATATATCACCGGCTTGCGATAAGCATGGTGCCAACACCACAATAATGGTAACTGAAATAGGGGAAGGGTAGAGTGAGCTACAGAACGTGGTTAATGGTTGTTCAAACTGAACTGAACTGAACAGAACGAAGTGCAAAAAAGACTATTTATGCAACTAATGCATAAGTAGATGGATGGATATTCATACCATTAGTGAATAGTTGCAAGGCCGTTTAAGAATTTCATTTTGATGTGTTTATCACGCTCACTATCGACCAATCCACCTCATACATTCGTGATTACATTTGCGTTTACAACTTTCACATCGATAAAAGAAGTTGATCTCACTGTATTGTATATTGTACGAGAACAATAGCGTTGATGTAGAACGAGTTGCTTGTGACCTTACATTCTTCGTAAAAATTGCTTTCATTTTTACTTTTTTATTTATTATATAACACAATTTTCAGGAAGGCGGAAGCAGCCAAGAAAAGGGCTGCCATAAAATACAAAATGAGGAAAGTCAGGCGGTGGTGGTGAAATATGAACACACTTCCTCCTGGGTGATAATTTGGAAACGTTAACACCTGGCACATCTTTGTCTCGGACACATGTGAATTGACCACAGATGCTGGAAGGTTATCTTAAATATCCTAACTATGATTTCTTTCTGACTTTGACCGGTGTGCTTTTATTTTTCATTGTGTTATTCTCGCATTCAGAGAAAATCTAATGTTAATTAGATCAAGATTACTGGATGAAGTATTCGCTGCTCTTCAACGTCTTTTCCATCCCTCTCACCTTCTGTAGCTTACCAGTCATCTATGCTGGTTTTATCAGAACTTTAGTTGTACGGCCTAAGCCAATGTTTATCATATCTATTGGTCTTTTGCTGATCATTTATTCAGCTCAAAAAACATTTCTCTCATATGTGGATTCCTTTTATACTTTCCCGATATTACTTAGAAACTCCAACATTCTGACCTGAATGTCCTTCTCACTTGCTCAGCAATACAAAATTTGCTGGTGGCTTGGTAGTAACGTCGCTAAATTGTCACCCCAGAAGACGTTTGTTCGAATCCTAACACCACTGCTTAACTTTTCTCATTCTGTTGCATTGCAGACCTTTGATTGGCCGCTTCATGAAAATTGTACCATTATGTGTTCAATAAAGAGAAAAAATGAAAGAGAGAAATGAAACAACTATTTATACTTATACAGTTCATTGTTTACTCTATAAATGTGCAAATACTCTAGGACGCAAAACGGACTTATTTTCCTTCTCTCTCTAGACTTATTCTAACTGAAACCTGGTTGATATTAATGAATTGATAGAATCAGCAAATTCATAGTATTGCTAACATTTAAGGCATGCTGATGGGAGCTGCTACAATATATAATGTCCAATGTCCAATAGAAACATTATTTTGTGTAATCGTTCATCGTTACTAACGAAGACACTAATATTAAAGACTACGAATAAATGGACTAATATCTGCTACGACGTACTCTACTGACGTGAAACTTACCCAAGCCGTTCAGTTGTTCCACTTTACTGGATGGAGGTGGTAGTGGTGGAGGTATACAGCTTGTATTCAAATTGCACGGAACCGAGGGATCGAGGGTTTGTACGACTTCACCAACAGTGGATGGCGTATTGTTCACACTGGTCATTATGTTCGGCATGCTTGCAGTTACAAGTGGTTGAAATATGACGGGCTGGCTTTTTACCGAATCAACCGCAGTTGCACTGACCACTTGGGTTGTTTGTAGTAGTCCATCCGTCGTGGGATAGATCCCAACAGACTGTTTTCCAGCGTCGGATATGATTGAANNNNAGTCAAAGTACCCTCGACTGAGCTATTCCGAGAGGTATCAGCAGGCGGATCGTGAAATAGAACCTCATTGGACGGACCGATCTCCATTAGCTCGACTGATTCAAGAGCTTTTGGTTTAGATCTTTTCCCCCCGAATCCCGTTGCGTTGGTGTCCAAGGGTAGTGACATTGCCTCAACTGAGAGACAGCTTCCACTGTCCGTACTACAGACATCTTCTCGGTAGTCTTTGGACATCTGAGGTTGCTTAATTGATCTTTCACTGCCGTTTTCAGTTTTACTGCGGGTGGTCGAACTGACACTAGTGGATGAATTCCAGATGTTGGAATCGGTAGCTTGTAAATGTTTCTCGTGTACAATCGCTGCACTAGGCACTTTCTCTAACCACCTTGGCTTACTTCCGTCTTCTACAAAAATTTTGAATAGTAAGTAAGAAGACGAGTGCTATAGAGTTTCAATGCAAACACAAAAGTTTGGTAATACAGAAAAACGGTACTATATTTGAACAAATAATAACAATTTCTGATTTGCCTAAACTACTGAACACGAGAACGTTAAGGGACTTATTTTGAATTAAAAGACTCTATGGTACACCGAACAATGCAGTTGAATGTTAGGAGAATTAAAAGCTAAAGTCTTATAGTACCAGTTCAGTCGTACGTTATCCAGGAGATATATTTTTGTTTATGGAGGTAGTAAAATTCATTAGATTCAATAAATGCATGCCCATTATTTTCATATTTACGTTACAATATTGTAAAACTGAAATAACTGGGGGAAGCGTTACATTAACCTGCATATTCATGCGATACATGGAGCTTAGAAAAGTATGAAATATACATCATTGGTTGTTTCCTTTTTTAATACACTTTGTAACGAGAAACATCATGGATTACACTGTAACTTTTCTCATTCATCAAAAGAATACAAGACTATTAAATGAATGCTTTTTTCTACAATTCCGGAAATAAATTGAATTCAATTTAATTATCTGATGATGCTTGAAAGGAGCTCCAGAAGACAGGAGTTATTGATATTATGATGACGCAATACGGGGCGGGCGAAGCACGACGTTTTGGTTAATCTAAAAGGCTCGAATCACAAGGTTACTATCAACTGACGGGAGCCTTGTGTTTACATAAAGAAATTTATCAGCCTGTCCTTATCATAGTGATATGATAACCCTACCCTTTTCGTGTTCGACTGTTTTATTGCGTTCTACTTTGTATCGTTTCCATGTCAAAGATATCTAAACATTCCATTTTCTGTAATATGCACAACTGTGGGATGCTGCTTGTTATCGTGCTTCATTCACAGTATTTCGCCAAGACCATTCCCTTTTATAAATGTTCGCATTTGGTTTCTGGTCAATTTCACAGTGTCCTCTTTGATACAGGCACATTGTAAATTAGCACATTGTTTGTGGGTTTCAGAAGGGACGACAGCACTAGCGAAGTACTTGACAGCTTTGATCGTCATATAGGTTTATATAGGTTTGTATTTACTCACTCCTAAGCAGCAATCAAATAATTCTTGATGATTAAAGCAGAGACATAAGAAAGGGATAGAAGCTTCTGTAAAAAATAATGTTTTAAAAGGCAGTTATTGGATTTGTTTCATGACAAGTTGCATAACAACAGGGTGGAAGCTAATTTACATCCACACTTCATTAGTCTTTAGATAAGGAGGTCGTTATACACGCACTGTGAATTTAGGCGAATATTGACATAAAAAGAGAAGTAGACCAAGCATAGATAAAATTGTGGGGTCTTGTGTTGGCTGAGCTTGTCGTTTAGATCGCAAACGTTTCATCACCAGCCTAGGTGACATCGTCAGTGCGTTGGACCAACGCGATCTAAACGACAAGCTCAGCGAACACAAGACCCCACAAACCATCAACCTGAAAAGATAAAATTCTATGAAAACTTTGATAAATCAGTATACGACTGTATACTGATTTATTATTACTATTTATTACTGTTATCTAAAAGTTACAGTTATTTAGAGAATCCTCGATTCACGATTGGAAACATTAGGCAACATTAGTGACTGAAGCACGTTAAGCTTCGTGCATTTCACAACTTGAAACAACCGCACAGTTATCTGGCTGAAACTCCTTTTGACAAACTTAGTTTCATTTTATTCAAGTTCTCACTTACTAGAAATTTATTTGGTATTCTCAGTAAAACGAACGAGAAAATCAGTTGGCGAATGAAGAATTTTTTGTGAACGCGGCTGAAATTAATCACATCATTCTTCATCAAAACAGAAAAAACATTGTAAAATAGTATACATGAACCAACCGTCCTTGAAACTTCATATTCACCCCCGAAAGATGGCCCAAACTATCAGTCATACAATCGAATAGCAATGAGCCCCAATTTTACCCCTCACTTGAGGGGTAGGTTAATGTTATTATAATTGTTATTGCCAAACCGGGGATTTCTCATATAGACGATGTGCCAATCAGCTATCACCGAAAAGAACCATGAATTACCAAATGTTTTCCTCGCTGATAGTCAAATAAATTTCAATGAAGACTGTATTCAAAGTGAATTGACCTGCTCATTCTGGGAAGCCCCGATATAGTCCAATTGACACGGCGATGATATTCATGAATGGAATTCCCCGAAGTTCAAACTATAGGTGCGCTGCTGAATATGCAGGCCAGATAAGAACAAAAATAAGTCTGCGACTTCCTGAGTCTCCTTTTGATTCACGGGATGAGCTAAGATGTGTTCAAAGGAACTATCAAAAGGGTAACCATCAAAACAATATAGTATTATTTATTACGAACCTAATCAAGGATTGCAAATCTGATAGGGAGTTATGAGTTTGTTTAAAACTTTTGTTAATCATAAAAATTTTATATCTCATTTTACTAAACTATATAGAGTATTAGGTATTTGGGACGATTCTTTACATATTTTGCTTTCATAATATACGTGCTCTCGGGTACACATCACCTTTTCAAAAGCATGTTGAGCAATAGAAGACCAAATACGCGTAATAGCCAATATTCGTTGATTATTCAGACAGCTGCTATCACATTATATGGTAAATAACTGGGTTTCACTTATTGGTTAAATGGAAATGGATAACAAAGTAATGGGTGATTTTCCACAATGTGGGTCCCTTATTCCATTATTTGCGCTTAGCAGGCGGTGCGCACATGCGTGATGCATGCCTGTACGCACAAACACACCCGCACGTGCACAAACTCGATAATCAGATTGCGACAATGTATCTACCGTCGGAACGTAATTAGTCGCACATCTTTGAAATGTATTTATTAACTTCGTCAGTTACAAGCAATGCTCCATCACACTGCTGCCTGCTGATTTCCTGTTTCAACGGTCGATGAATAACAAATGACAATAGGTTTTGCAACAGTTGTTCACTGGACGAATGTTCAAACAACCTCACCCTACCCCACGCCATCCTCCAAAGCGTAAAACAACGTCTTGTCCTGTAGATCAGAGATGTATGAATGTGAACAACTGGAGGATTGGGGAACACGACAGACACCGGCTGAGAAATCAATCGCCTTCTATTAGAGCACGCGGTACGAAATTGTTTATTCTTTGAAAAGAACAAAATCACCCCGGCAGTGGTAATAACGGATGATCTGCTATTTCAAACGAAAGGTCAATATTGATTTGTAGAATGGATCATCAGTTATTTTTTACGATGAATCACAATTTAAATAAGGGAGGATGCATTTTGGAAAGGTCAAACATTTGAAGGCAGTTTTTACTCAGCAACACAGTCTAATGCAAATACTAAATTAGGGGATTATCGAGCCTGTGTCAAATAGCAAGGATTTGCGTAATCAGGATTTTAGGTGAAAACTTTTCTTCAACGTGATTTGCTCCGGATGTAGGTATGTATCTGGAACAGAGGTGAAAGACGTGCAGTCTTGCATTAAAAATCACGTGTTCGGCTCGGAAAATGATTTCAAATTTACATTAACCTATTTTAGTTTGTCTCCCGGTTCCTTGATCTTAGTTGATGCTCTAAACATAGCGGACACAAAGTTAAACCTGGTATTAGAAAATTATATCAGTCGAGTATTTCCATAGGCTTCCCCTCAACTCACTGCTAGATATATATAGTGCAGTAAATTATTCTTAGTCTGAGGCCTTTTATGCTACAGCAAAAAATGAATTTTTTGACCTAATTTAAACAACAAGTGGAATAAGACCGGTGTACAAATACTACATAAGAAGTAAGACAGCCCAGCAGGAAATAACAGTTTCATTGCAGTACTGAATATCCCGATACAGGAGGGCTATGCGGTTAATACGTTGAATGACAAGGAAAAAGTTTGAAAAACTCCTTGGGTGACAGCCCCATGATTTAAACTGAGTGATAAAGTTCTGTGTTAAGAAGCTGGGATATTTGCATATCCGTAACATGGATTTATAAGCTCGAAACAATGAATTTACTATTTCTCACAGTTTTTTCTCTTCTCGAAACTGCAGCCACTGATACACACATGCATTATTGTGCATGACTGATGTGACAAACAAATCAACCCACCATCCATAGCTCTGCTCATCAATGTTTTCAAGCGTACCCACAATATGATGCAGAAAAATCCAACTTGGTTTATGATCCACTCAATGCTTACATACCTAAACGGAGAGTAGACTACTGGGATTCATCATGAGCATTAAAAAGGACAATCGAACGGAATGCTTAACTGAAAAAGAAGGCTAATTCCATGAAAAAATGCAATAAAACCTTAATCGTCTTAAAACATCTGTTGGAAAGAATTAGATAATGTTGATTGAGCATGTTAGGATACAGTAAACCTTATAAACTTGACTAAACTTTGGTTGGATATGACTTTGTGATACTTCAATTTATTAACGCGGCTGCAAATTTGGTTTACCACTCTGAATGCGGTCCTTTTACGGCTGAGCAGTAAATTGTCAGCTCTGACGCTGTTCTTTACACTTAGCTAAGAAATGGTACTTGTCTTAAATTGATAACTCACCCGAACCAGACAGTTTCCCAATCTATGAGGTTTACTATATCTTATCCAGTTGGCAACTTATCATAAATTCCATTTGAAAGCTTTTCGCGTTTATGTCTCACTGCACCCCTTGATTGATGACCTTTATACTTGTTCTCTTTAAAAAATTATCGGCTAACTCTTTCCTCGGAAAACCTCCTCTAAGTCGACGTCTCCAGTCCGAGGCTAGACCTACATTCGGTTGTTTCAAGTATCA